TTTTTCCTGGCCAGATATGTGGTCAGATTTCTAAACTATATATTCGGAGAATAGGTTTTATATTCCGAGATCCAAAATGCCACAGGTCCAATAGTGTTCATGAGTCTTCCTGCCATTGCACCCCCAGCGGCGGATCATTTTCCTATTGTCCCATGGGGACTTGGAAAGAAGTGTGGCCTGTTTTGAGACACTGCTTGCCATGCAGTCATGTCTCCTGAGGACACTCACTCTAAAAGCCCCCAGCAACCCCCACTGTGTTCTAGGAAGCAGCTGGCCACACAACAGCTGCTGCCTCTAACACAGTGGTTCTCAACCTTCTGGCCCTTTAAATACAGTTCCTCATGTTGTGACCCAACCATAAAATTATTTTCGTTGCTACTTCATAACTGTAATGTTGCTACTGTTTTGAATCGTAAGGTAAATATCTGATACGCAGGATGGTCTTAGGCGACCCCTGTGAAAGGGTCGTTCGACCGCCAAAGGGGTCGCGGCTCAGGTTGAGAACCGCTGCAAACACGATTGTTTGGAATGCTTGCTTGCCCCCTTCAATCAACCAAGGACTGTCAGTAGTACCTGCAGCCCTCAGCAGCTGTCATCTACAGGGTTTTGGTGGTCGGTTGGTTTGGTTGGTTGGTTTACCCTACCCCAAGTATGACAGCCCAACCAACCCAAGCCCCTGGAGTGAGCCCATCTCCCACTTCCATGGTCTACTTCCAGACCTGGGAGTCGGCAGATGGGAGTCACTCCCACCTTTCTGTTTCAGGTCCAGTAGCTTTGTTGTTTTTAAACCCAGCTATGCCTGTTTTAAATTTTCTATTTTTATAATTTATATACGTATTATGGCTATGTGTTTGAAGCACTATGTTCAACCTGAACTTCTAGGTTCTAAACTCATCTTGTCTAACTATCTTAATATACCACTTTTTTAATTTAAAAATTACTCAGTGAAATCATTTTTGTAAATAGTTGCTCCCACTTTCATATTGTCAGTTTGATAATGAGACACTTTTTAGGTAGCTTGAATACAGGCCACTCCATGGACACTGGTCTCAAAGGACACAGTGACCTCCTAACTGCTAAATGAACTTTACTCATTCTTTCCCCTACTCAGACTCACTGCAGCAGCTGACATTATAGTACAGCTCCTCCTCACTCAACAACAATTGTAACAATTCAGAGTCATTCAACAACTAACATTGTAACAGAGTGTCTGGGAGCCAGCTTTCAGCTGGACGTAGGGCCAATGGTTTCAACACACAACCCCACACCTTGTCTCCTAAGCTGTTGCTGGCCCTCTCCTCCCTTCATCATTTCCTGCTTGCCGCCTGATCTTGGTCATGAGCAATGAACTGCCAGGGTCTCAGTTGTGTGGACACGAGTTGAGCTCTTGACAAATACTGTCAGAATGAATGATCCTCAATTATGAGCTACGGTACCCACTGTACTTTAGACAACTTATTTTCCCTTCATAACCCTAAGGTCTCCTATACTTCCCAGCCATTATCCTGTGAAAGCACTCATTGCTGTCTTTGCTACCCTCATGTGTGAGGTGTGCTCTAAGGACCTTGCAGACGTGCTGAAGGCTGCATGGCTTGTCCTTCCCAGCTCAATCTCAGAGTTGACTGTACCTCTGAGCTCAGCGATGTCACTACTCTGAAAACAATCACTGACTTGGGTGGAGATTGCCAGAGCTGACTCAGAATTTGCAGGTGTCTTGTGTTCATAACTACCTATTCTCTCACCCAAACTCATCGAATATGCAGGAGCTGAGCAGTAGCAATTATTCATAATAACTTTATTAGGTGTAATTTGCATCTACCTTTTGCAAAGACAGAGTGATATTCTGGGAGCCACACATTTAACACAAGTGCTTGTCCTTGACCCTGCCCCCATCCACTCATGCACAGCAGTCCCTTTCTTCCTGGGAAGAACGTGTACAATTTGTATCACACAAATTATTTTGTACTTGTTGACATTCTTTTATCAGGTAAATTACTTGTACTTATTTTGCTAAAGGCCGTTAATTCCATAAAAGTTTTGTATTGTGAAAAAGTTTTGTTTAAGTTGAGACCAAAAGGATTGGGTGTCTTTAAACAATGGGCACAGAAATGTGCTCACCCACGCCCATGAAGTTTTTCCAGAAGAAAAGCCAGGGTTCCCAGGGCCCCGTCGCTTGCAGCCTGTGCCAATGTGCTCCCAGCCCTATGGGTCCTGGTTTATTACAGAAATATGCTATTATCCTTTTATTCTTTCATTTGCCTCCTTAGTACCATGATAATTGGAATTCAACAGTCTTCAAAATGTTTTCAGTGATATGGTATAAATTATTTCTTTAAAAAAAAAACTTTCCAAGTTGGATGTGTGACAAGTTAGTATATTACCCATGTAACTGAGTCTAGACCTAGAGTTGATTGACTTAAAGACAGAATTGCAGTGTAAGTAATAATGGAGACGTGTTATCAAGGAGGTTAACTGTTGCTATAATATAAAGATGCTCCATGTGGTTGACAAAGGGACTGATTGAGGATAAAGTGACCTTTATGGGGAATCGCTCATCTTAGTTTCTGCTGTGAGAAGAGAGAACATGCTGAATATTCTGTGATAATTGTTGCCTTAGTAGGTATATCAGAGGAATTCAGTAGGCCAGCAAAAGTGAAATGACCACCAAAACATATATAAAGTAAGAACTGCTAATTGAAATTAGCAGCAAATGAAAATTGTAAGCTGATCAGAATAATTTTCTTGATTTTTCCCTCAAGTATGTATGAGCAACAGAAAGGAGGTGGCCAGTGAGGGTCAGGGAGGTGCCTGAAGCATGCTGACACGGGACCTGGGATGCTTTAGCTACAACAGCCACAGGAACTTCTCACAGACCCTTGTTTAGGCATCTTGATATGGCTAGTGGGGCTTCTTTTCCATTGCTCCTTTTTGGGAATAGCAATTTAAATAGCAGTATAAAAAAGTTCTCATTATGAGTACATAGCTATTAAAATTACAATGAAAAAATAATCTTTCTTAGGCCACATGTTGTACACTTCCATTTATGTGGAACATTCAGAATAAGCAATTCTGTGGACATAACAAGTAGATCAGTGGTGGCCCAAGACTGGGGTGGGCACGGTGCTGATGGGCAAGGGCTTTCTTGGGGGTTGAAAAAAATCTTCTAAAATTAGACTGTGGTAATGCTGCCTGACTCTGTGAATATATTAAAACCACTGAA